AAGAAGCATCATAGAGTGGGAGAGGCAGCAAGAGCCAGTCTTCATTTATTACATTCTGGGTTCAGTCTCTTTGCCAAATTGTTAAGATCTTGCTCAAGTTATTTATTCTCATTCTTTTCAAGTTGTCAATAATGGTTTTATACACTAAGCCCAAGCTGAGAGCAAATCTTTCCAAAGGTATTCTATGTTTAAATATAGAAACATCTTGATTCTGGACTCTTTTGCCCCCACCCCACTACACAGACAGGTCTGTGGAATGCGGTAATTTAAAAAAAGTTCTCTTCCCCACCCTCACCCCAGACCCAAAGTATATTTTATTAATGTGAATGACTTTATGTTCAACTAATTTTCAAATGTGTCTTAGATATACAATAGAACTGACAATCTAATGAACTGATCTAATTTAAGTAGTCAACCTATTTTAGCAGTGTTATTTTTTTAATCTTTTGAATTAGAGAAAGGCACATTCTTCCCTTTGGCAATTCTGGTACACACTACCTCTTTTTTTCATTGTAAGATGAAAAACAGACTTTTTTTTTTTTTTTGCAGTTTTGTAATTTTGACTCTCAGCAGTTCTCACCCACATTGGCTGTCTATATATTTTTGAATGTGGTAATGCGGACATAGGTGACCAAAGCACACAGTGTGCTTAATGAATCCTCATCCTCATTATAATTTTTGGACAAACAAACACAGATATGATATGGCACATTCCTTATTCCTTTGGCCAGGTATCAATGTGCACATCTGGAGTCCACATCTCCTTCATGACCAATTTCTGGATTTGAGTGCACATGGGACACGTTTCTTGAATTCCACTTCATGGATGCGCTTGTGAACACTGATGGTGTGTTCCTGGGTCACCACCTCATTGATGGCAGAACAGTCCTTCTTCTCTCCTAGTACCTTTCTTTGTGGGAGCCATTCTGCCAGGCCCAAATGGACTTCTTTGTGGGAGAATGTAGCATGTCACCAAAACCTATCACTATAATGTCCTACTCTCCACTTACAGCTCCTACTTAATTTTTCCTACAACTTGGCTCCTCTCTGGTCTCATTCCAGGCTCCAGTCCCTTGGCTTCTCTTCTCCCAGCCCCCTATTACTCCCTTTTATTCCAGACTGGGTACAAGCCTCCATCTCTCCTCTGTTGCATCACCAGGCCAGCTCTGAGCCGGGGATCTCTTTGTCTCTATAGCCTCCTTTTCTCCAACTTTACTGCAGTAATCAAGCAAGAAGTCAATCTGTTCTCCTGACAGCTGTCCTTACCAGTACATAATTTTTACTTCATCCGGGTCCTGTATGCCTCTTCTACAATCCTTTTCTTTTTCTTTGGCTATTGTCCTCGCTTATCCAGCTCATTGTCCTCTCATTTCGTTTTTCAGATTTTTATTATTGTCTTCAAGCTAAGGCTTCATCTACTGAGTACATCTTTCTCAGAATACTTTGCTTTCTTTTGATCAACAAAATGGGGGCCATTAATGTCCAGCTAGATAAACATCTGCAAATGCTTATTTTCAGCTCTTCCTCTGTGACTTTAGAGAGGAAGACATACTTCCTCATCCCATCCAAACCAAGCTCCTCTTTCTGTGAGTTGAGAACAACCCACCTTGCCTCATCTTCTCCAAGATGTTCCAATAATGACTCCCTCTGTCTTCTTCCACATCATCAACTTCTATCTGACACTGTAACACCCCCTTTGTTTTCTAAACCTGTGGATCTTCCAGGCATGGTGATGCATGTCTGCAATCTGAGCACTCAGGAGACTGAGGCAAGAGGATCACCAGTTTGAGATCAGTCTGGGTTATATAGTTATATCCTGTCTCAAAAAACAAAGGGCTGGGAATGTAGTTAAGTGGTAGTACAGTTGTGTAGCACGCTAAAATCCCTGATTTCATCTTCATCACCACAAAGATAAACTTGTGAATGTCTTTCCCAATGAAGGAAAGGGAAGGGAAAGGAAAGGAGAGGAAGGGGGAAAAGGGAAGGAAAAGTGAGAAAGGGAAGGACTTAAATCTACCTTTACCCTTCCTTCTCCCTCTGTGGCTTATCTCCACCAGACTTCTCAAACTACTTTCATCATACTTCTCAGAATATTTCCATACTTCCATCCTATTTCTCAAAATCTCATGTTTCCCATTTCTTAATTCTCTCCTTTTCAGCTCACTCCCAGCTGAAATGTGGTGCCTCCCTGCTTCTGGATCTCTACTGGCTAAGATCACCAATGGTTTCCAAATTGCTACGGTCATCTGTCTTTGCCTCTCTGTTGTTTAGTAATTGGATTAATATCAACTTGATTGTATATTATATTAAAAGATTACATGACCAGGGAACCAAGCTGACTTCTCAGGACTGGCTATCAATCCATATAAAGTCTGGGGGCGGGGGAGACAACAAAGACCTGAAACAAGGCAGTTGGTTACTGCTAATAGCCTGCTTTGTGAGAAGTTCAGGGAAAACTGGGAAAATTTTGGATTGGAAAGGTGGGGAGGATTTGAGGATGAGTTCTGGGTTTGTAACTCACAGACAAAGTGTATGCTTTCTTTACACTAACTAAAATATACAAAATATAAGAACTGGCTGAGGGAATGGGAAAGCTTTTCAAATTCTTTTTTGTGATTAATTTAGCTCAGGGGAAAGAGAGAAATGTATGTACACTAAATTTATAGAGGAGTAGATACGGTGAGAATGTTTTAAGTTAGAATACTCAGGGAATTAGAGATAAGTGTGAACACAGATCATGAGGTCTATGCCCTGCTCTAATTTCCTCTATATTGTGCAAAACAGTGGTTTTTCAGGCTGTGCCTTGGCCTGAGAAATCCATTTTGATGGTGGAGGATGACTGTGTACTGGGTTGGACATGTGAACAGGACCATCTGTCTAGTTTCCCAGCTTTGGCTTCTTAAGCCACTTTCAAACTCCTTGTTTCTTTAACCCCTTGTAGTCACTCTATACCAGACAGATAGACAGACAGACAGAGTGATGGGTGATATACAATCTGAGAGTATTAAAAATCGAGATGATGGCTTGCTGGTTAAAAGCATGTACTGCTCTTCCAGAGGACCCAAGTTTGGTTCCTAGCACCCATGTTGGGAGACTCACAGCCACCTGTAACTCCAGCTCCAGGGGATCCGACACCCTCTTCTGACCTCTGAGGGCACCTGCACTCACCTGCACATACCTACACATAGGCACACAATATGGATAATTTAAATTATTAAAAGAAATCTTTTTTAGTGCTGGAGAGATGGCTCAGTGGTTAAGAGCACTGACTGCTCTTGCAGAGGACCTGGGTTTGATTCCCAGCACCCACATGGCAGCTATGAACCGTCCTTAACTCCAGTTCCAGGGGGAATCTGAAGCGCTCCTCTGACCTCCGCAGCATTGCATGACATGGGTGCACTCACACACATGCAGGCAATACACTCATATACATAAGATAAAAATGATAAATAAAAAAGAAATCTTTTAAAAATTGAGATTGGAATAAAAAAGCTTGTGTTTGCTACAGCCAGAATTATTGAGGAAACTGGGAATATCTGGCAAATTGCTGTCATTGAAACTGTTGGGCCTTGTTAATTTAATAATCGATAAATTTTGACATTGTGGAGACACAAACATGCCTGTCTATATTTCTGACAGTGCATTCATGTCAGCCTAGTAAAAAAGTCTTTATTTTGAGAACTAAAATGTTTCTTCTTGGGAAAAAAAGTTATTGCATTAATTAATAACAGGTTTTTGCTTCTCCAAGAGGGTTTCAGGATTAAAAGAGCCCAAGATGAAGGAATTAGGATCTCTGGCACTCATCAGAAGAATCTCAACAGGAGGCTCAGGACTGGGGCTTACCAAGGAGAATTCCCAAATAATGTCCAAGGCTAGGGGAGGGGATTGCTGGAGGACAGAGGAAAGAATTGAATATTGGTATCACTTCTACATTTGTTCCCCATATCTCATTATTGGGTCTGCTGACATGTTTTTTACGTATCTGGCTTTGAGAGATGAATTTGATGAGACCTTATGTAGTAGTTGGGTGGAATGTAGAAGGCTGGAATGGGATGTCTGGAACTGGGAAATGAGGAAAGGAAACCACTAGGGGGCGGCTGAGCAGGAGTTTGGAACTTGAAACTACGTATTTGAACTCAGAGCAGATAAATCTCCTAAGGGGAGCACAAAGAATGAGAAATTAATGTCACATAGATGGACTCTCTGCTGAGAGATGCTATGAAACACATCGAAGGCTGGGGAGATGACTTGGTAAGTAAAGTGCTTGCTGCACAAGCACGAGGACCTTGAATCCTCAGTATCCACATAAAAAGTTGGGCATGACTAGGCATGTCTGTAACCACAACACTGACAGGGAGAGACAGGTGTATTCTGGGAGCTTGCTAGCCAGCTAACTGAGATAAAATGGCAGCTCAGTTAGAGACTTTATCTCAAGAAAAGCAGGCAGAAAGCAATAGAGGAAGACACCGGACATCCTTTTCTGGCCTCTTCACAAGTGTGCATGCACCAGCATATTTATGTGCATGCACCATATACACACACATACCACATACACACATACAGCACATACACATACACATACCACACATATCTCACACACACATACAGCACACACACACACACACACACACACACACACACACACACCGGGGCGGGGGGGAGGGAGGGAGGGAGAGAGAGAGAGAGAGAGAGAGAGAGAGAGAGTAGAGAGAGAGAATACATACACAAATGAAACATTAATTGTGACGGGAGAGATGGCTCAGCAGTTAAGAGCACTGGCTGCTCTTGCAGAAGACCCAGGTTCAGTTCCAGGAGATCCGATGCCCTCTTCTGGCCTCCACAGGCACTGTACAACACAGGTGCATTTGTATACATGCAGGCAAAACACTCATACACATAAAATAAAAATAAATAAATTTTAAAAAGAGACACATTAAGCCAGAGATGTATTTATCTTTTAAAAAGTATTCACAAAATCTTTAAATTTTATCTCTGTTTATAACAGCTGGACACTATTTCTCATCATACCATATACAGGACTCAATGAAACCTAACCTAGAGATGCTTTTGCACAGCAAGGATCAACTCCAACACTTTTACAAGATAAGACAACTTTAATATGGTGTCACCAATACATACAGCTGAACTTGTCATATTGTATTTGATTAGTTCTTTGAAGAAACTCTTAATGATTAAGCTTATACAGATCACAGGTCAGAAGAGCTAAAATATGAAAGATGCTTCAATAAAATATTTTAGGACAATTGTAGTCACTTTAAAATAATTTTAGAAAATTATTTACAACTTTAAGATAATACAAACATTTCAAACAAAATAAATCTGGATCTTATATAAAAATATTCCAAAGTACAAGTATAAGTTAAACACTGAATAAAGCCTTCAACATGTCTAGTGGATGCTACTAGTAAGGATATATTCTAGGTGTTAAAATGAAAATAACAACCACAAAACAATGTTTTCTTAATCATTAAAAATTTTAAATATTTTAGTAATAATCACAAAGTTTAGAATTCCACTGTAAAAATTCTCATTTTTACAAATGCAGAGTATCAAACAATGTAAAAAGGCAACAAAATAATAAATTCTTCATCAAATTTGACGTTATGCAAAATATATAAACTGTAAAATTTTAAATCTCATCTGCAGTTGAGTCCTTTTAAAAAAGTCACATGGTGCATCCGTTTAATCCTAGCACTTCAGAGGCAGAGGCAGGTGGATCTCTGTGAGACTGAGGCTAGACTGATTTACATAGCAAGTTCCAAGCCAGCAAGAGCTATACAGTGAGACCTTGTCTCAAAAACAAAAAACAAAACAAACAAGAAAAAAATCCAAGTCAAACGTGATACAGAGCACATAATCAATTTAACAACAATGGTCTCACACTTTAGAAAACATTAAGTTCTATGTTCTATATTTTCTTTAAAAAAAACCCCACCATATATGAATAATTATAAACAGAAATATGAAATATCTTTAGAATAGTATAAGAAATATCCCACCTAGAGGGTCTATTTTGTTATGTGAAAATTATGCCTTATTATGCCTTATATTTTTTTCCCAGTGCCATAAATGGATATTTTGAAACAACATTGATCTCATTTATAGTCAAGGTTTTGCCTTGAGGTACTAATTTTGCATTTGGACAGATGCTCACATAAATTAAAAGGTAGATGTATGTCCTAGTATGACAGTTTTAATTTTCTATGAAGTTGTTAAAATGCCATCAAAATGTATAAAAATCTAGCTAGCAACCACATTCTTACAGAGAAAATTCACATTAAATTTGTCACCCTGTAAACAATTTGAACTTGGGTTCTAGATTCAAGGCTTCTCTCCTGGTAACTAGAGTGGTTAACATGGCAATTAACAGTAAGTAATTGCACATATCAGCAAAGCAACTAATCAACTAACATCCTAAGACTTCTACTTTGGAGTAAACACTGTTGGTGGGAAATGTTAAACAGCTCACACTTTCTAAAAAACATTAGTACAAATGAACAAACTTTTCAAAGAATTTAGTCGTGGAATGAAGGAAGCATAATCTCATCTTCATTTGCTCCATGTTCGTACCTGACGGATGAGAAGCCTGCCCAGTGGAATCGGGTTCTTTGGAAGAGGAACCATATCAGTCCACTGAGGAGTGCCAAGATACTTAGCACGGCGAACATGATACCTATGCCTCTGTAATCCGGGCCTGGAGTCAGGAATGCAACAGTGAGCATTATTATTGATTTTATTCAGTAAACCATATGTAAGATACATAAACCATGTGCAAATTAATATTGTTTCACAGCATTAACATAAGTCATAAACTTATCATTAAGCACTAAACTTCCTTCTTTTCAAATTTAAGTCATTTCCTTTTCATTCAAACTCTTTTCATCGCTATAGAAATTTTCTCCAAAAGAAATTAAGGCACTCTCATTATTTTCTCTCTTCCTAACTACCACTCTTAGGAGAACTGCTCCTCACACATCATCCTACTTTCTAACTCTCCCCAGAATGGGGATGGAACTCGGGGTCTTGTGCATGCTAGGCCAGCACGTTATTAGGTTACAACCTTAGTACTTGACCAGGATTTCAAATGCTAAGGATGTAGCTTGATAAAGCTTTAGGTTGTCTTAAAATTCAACATGAAAGTTATACAGGACCAGAGAGAAAAAGCAGCAAACTAGTTACAGAAATAAACCTTTAAGCTCATCTTAAGAGTGCTTTCAAAGAAATTATCTACTTAATTCTCTGGGAGTTCTAGATATATCATGTATTTACTGTCTCCATGTAATCTATTTTTCAGGGAGAAAAGCTCTACGATTTCATGAGAATTTTGGAGATGCTTTATAAATACTTCAAGACCAAGTCAAAAAAAATTGAGCATATAGCTGTTATTATTTATTTATTGACTGTACTGGGATTGAACCTAGGGCCTCATGCTTGCTAGGCAAGGACTCTACCACTGAGCTATAGGCCCAGCCCTACACTAATTTCTTTTATTTAAAAATTATTGCATTTATTATTTTTATTTTATGTGTATGAATGTATTGCCTGCATGTCTACCCATGTCATACAATGTCCACGGAGGTCAGAAAAGGGCATTGGATCCCCTGGAACAGGAATTACATATGGTTGTTAGCTGCTATGTGGGTGCTGGGAACTGAACCCAGGCCTTCTGCAAGTGCAGCCAGTGCTCTTAACCACTGAGCCATTTTGCTAGCCCCTACATTCATTTCTTGACCTATTTTACCAAACACTTCCTTAATGACAGGTTACATACTTACTCAGAGGAACTTTGCAGAGAACTCTTGCATAGCCGTGTGAACATTCAACTTTTTTCCAGGTTTCATTTGAAGCTATTAAAACGCTACATTTTCCACCACCATTTTTACTTTCATTTTCCCATTTGACAAATGTCACATCTAATCCATCTAACCAACTCCAAGATTGATCTGAAGAAAGACAATAAATGCAACTGTAGCTGTCACTACTAATCATTAAGCAAAAGTAAAAGCACGGGGTCCATTAACTCATTTACTTAGAATGGTGTTATCTTATATGATAGCTATTATTTAAAACCGAAACTCAGAGGCTGAGGAGATAGGTCAGTCAGTAAAGTGTTGCCATGTATGCATGGATTTGATACCTTAGAACCCACATAAAAAGCTGGGCACTCTGGCATATGCCTGTAAACTCAGTGCTGGGATTTGCTGACCAGCTGTGTGCTGAATCAGTGAGCTCCAGGATCAATGAAAGACCGTCTCAAAAAAGAAGGTGGAGTGATTAAGGAAAATATGTACCATTAGCTGCTGGCCTTCAAACACATGCACATACACATGGATATGTACACACATATACACACAAAAATGAGGTGGAAAGCAATTTGGGAAAATATCTGACATTGATCTCTGGCTTCCCCATATGTGTGCACAAAAGAACATGTACACACACATACACAAAATGAAATTCATTAAAAATAAGCAAAAGACTACGCTTTTAATCTGCACTTACCACATCTGAAGTGTTCAGTGCAGCTAATGACTACTAGCTTGGACAATGGAGAAACAACATATTCATCTTTATAGAACATTCTATTTATTAGACACTGATACAGATTGTGGTATTTTGATAAAGGTCAGAATGCTTGTACAGTTACTGACTGAGAAATACATTTTTAAGGATCTGTATCCTCCATTCTTTAAGAAAGCTTATTAATGTTGTGTTGCTGGAAGAGAAAGGGTCCAAGAGGGTTCAAGAGCCCCTTCACACCATTTTTGTTTTCCAGCAGAAGTAGCACCACCTTGTGGTAAGAGTATAAACACCATTTATAATTCATTTAGATAGCTAAGTTTGAATCCATTCATTTTCTGAAAAGTAGAATTCTCATTTATTTCAATTACTTAAAATTCAACTTTGCATAAAGTGTGAAACAGACTATCACATCTTTACTCTTAATTAAGTCTTTATGAATTCCAAGTTTACTCAAACCTGGTATCTATTACTGTTTATTGGAAAAATTTTCTACAAATTCTCTTTAACTGGATTGGTTTAAAAAAACGCTTTTATGATTTAATTTTGAACCATGATAAAAAATGTTCTAAGAGGCAAAGGAATAACAAGAAGATAACTTTATGAATAACACTTGTAGGCTGAAAAACCATGGTGCTAAAGAAAGATTCTAAGATGCTGAGGTTTCAAAAAGCCATGGGTTCCTGTGGGGACACAGACACTGACATTGTTGCAGGAGGAAAAAAAAATACACACACACATACACACACACACACACACACATATATATATGTATTTATGTTGAACCAAGGATCTTAGGAATAAACCTCAGAACAAGTACAGATGATTTTCTATTTTATCAGTGTTTTCTATCATTACTAATAAGTTACACATTTATTCAAAATTTACGAGTCTCCAGAACAACCAGCTTACTCATAAGAAGCATCCGAAGTGGCTACCATTTGACATTTGACGTTCTTAGGCAAGGCTGACTCGGGATTTAGGAAAGTTAGAAAATTCTGTCTCTCTGTCTCTTTGTCTCTCTGTGTTTCTGCGTCTAGCTCTCCCTCTCTCTCCTTGAAATGGGGTCTTGCTATGTAGCCTATACTGGCCTTGAATTTCTGGCGGTCCTCCTGCCTCAGTCTTGAGAGCACTAGAATTATAGAAGTGAGCCACCATGTTGGATTTTAGAACTCTTTGAACATAAGCTTGTCACTTACCCAGTGAATGTTGGGATAATCCAAGCCAAACTCTCATAGTAATATTATTATTTTCCCTCATTAATCTGCTCACAAATTTATTCTCATTTTCATCTGCTATGGTGACAATAGTCGCAGAATGATCTGTTGAAAGAAAATAAATTGCACCTAATCAGCTCTGTGTAAATTGACAAAGTGGTTCATTCTGAATTAGCCATTTGGGAAAAAACAAATCTATCATGAACAAGACCATTGAGAAATTCAAGCTTTATTTGGAGACTAGCTTTAAAAATTTGGTATTTATGGCAAAATTAAAGATAATTCCACTAATAATAGTTTTCAAAAATGTTAGAAATATTTCTAAATTGAACATTTGCATAAAGAAAAAATCATATTTCCTTAAAACATATGGCAATGGTTTGGGGTTTTGGAACTGCTTGATCAGTAGGAACTTTGTGTTTGAGCAGCTGGTTTTAATAACTGAAGCTTGTGACCACAAAGGTGTGTCACCCCATATGTTTTAGGACTCGCCTCAAAAAAGCATTTTTGTATAACTCAACTTTAAACCAAATGTATTCTCACTATTTTATGACTAAGGAAACTGAGACTCAAGAAGATTAAGTAAATTCTTCAGGTTCACACAACTGGCCAGTTAGAGAATTTTAAAAGGTAATCTAAACCTTGTCAGTAATAAGAATGGTTTTGAGAGTTTTGTATTACATTTGAGAATTTTCATTTCATTCATTCCTACAACAACCCCGAATGTACCAGACTTTGAAGTATATTTTCATTCTCACTGTTTGGATGAGAAAACAAGTGATTATGTAACACCCGTGATGCCATTTAGCTAGTACATGTGAGAAGTGGGGTATGAACCCAGGCTGCCTGGGTTCAAAGCAGAAAGGATAATACATCAAGCCTCCCACACAAATGTTCCTATTATATGGTCAAGCCGTAACCAGGACATTCTCTAATCAGCCAACTGCCTTCACAGTAGTTAGCAATCAATATAAATGAGCCACATGTCATCTGCCTGGCTACATAGCTACTGCAAGGAAATAGTTTTAATCTTTGAATATTGTAGGTGGTTTTCTTGGAAGCCATTTTACATTTTGATTGAAGGCAGTGACAGGCTCTATCATGGGAGGCAGTCAGTCATTGTTGTTTTTTTTCTGAAGTGGTTAAATCCAAAGACAAAAATCCTATCCCTTATTGGTATTCTTAGGATGTGAGACAGCCTTATTCAGAATGGATGGATGACACGTGCTCACGGAACTTTATTACCCTCTTCAGTCTCAGCTTATTACTAATATTGTAGTAATGTACTATCTAGTCAACTATATTTTGCCCATAAACCATTTCTTCTAAGCATATCTAGCTATATTTAAAATTGTTTTATCTGTCATCATTTCTACTTAATAGTTCACCTAGCATTTTTATTTACTTCTTCCTATTTTACTTTCAATGTACTTATGCTTACATAGATTTTTATGTATTTAGCTCTAAATTTTAATTTAATCATGTGTGTATGTCACCTGATGTGCCTGCTGGGAACCAAACTTGATTTCTCTGGAGGAGCAACAAGCTCTCTTAACCTCTGTCCAGCCCCATTTTATTTTTTTGGCTGTTGTTTGTTTATAAATATTTTTTTGACAGGGCCTTTTGTAACCCAGGATGGTCTAGAATCACTATGCATTTGAGGATGACTTTGACTGCTGATTCTCTTGCCTCAACCTCCCAAGTACTGGGATTACAGGCACATGCCACCAGGTCCATTGTATGTGGCCCTGAGTATCAAGCCCAGGGTATTGTGCATGCATGCTAGGCAAGTATTCCACCAACTAAGTTACATCTCCAATCCAGATTGATCATTTTTAATGACTATTCCATTATTCTATTGACTTCTTACATTATAACATAATTAACCATTTCCCTACCATTGGGCAATTAGGTTATGGTGCTGTTATAAAATGGCAAATGCAGGGCTGGAGAGATGGCTCAGTGGTTAAGAGAACTGGCTGTTCTTGCAGAAGACCCGGGTTCTAATCCCAGCATCCACATGGCAGCTAACAATTATCCATAACTCCAGTTCCAGGGATCCGACACCCTCTTCTCTCCTCTGTAGACACTGCACGACATGGATGCACTAACATGCATACAGGCATAACACTCGTACACATAAAATAAAAATACATAAATCAAAAAATTAAAATAGCAAAGGCTTTAAATATATTTTCCAAGATATGATCATTATTTCATATTAGTTCCTTAAGAAAAAGTTCAAGAGTTAAATTATTTAGCCATGAGAAAATGATTGCATTTTTAACTCACCAAATTCTTGACACAATTGTTTGGCCTCTGTGAAGCTGTGCAAGGCCTGGTCAGTGGTGTAACAGTGATCTCTATACTGGATCCACTGGGAGCTGTTCCCTTTTGCCACTGGACATTTTGACGAATGTACACGAGGGGACAGCTCTTTGGCTATGAAAATGTTAGACATAGCTGTAATGATGTAGAGAAAAAGGCAACTACTTTTCCCAATCTCATTAAATGTTCCCATTTGAAACCTGGGTTTGTGGATAAGGAGCCTATAACTCATTATGTACACCACAGAAAGCCACAACCTGTACTCTGTACACACATTCTAGTTAGCTTTCTGGAAGGCACTTCAAAACTTAGATGATAGACATGAGGAAAGTCCTTCCCCTCTAAGACAGACTTAATCCAACTTAAAACAACTAGAAAGAAGCAAATATGGGTGGAGCTTTGGTAGGCCTGCAAGTATTCTCAAATAATAATTAAAATTCTTCCTTTCCTTGCTTCCCTTTTATTTCCAAAATATAAACCACAGTTTATCTAAACACATAAAGAGCTATTTAAAAAGTCAGACCCACTATTAGAAAGTTGGCAGTTTGTTTTCGCAAAGTGTAATAGATCAGCATAGCAAATCTCTCACAAACTCAAAGAGTAGGTGTAGATTTTCAAGCACTTAAAAACTCTTCTGTTTTCTACTTAAACTGTTGTGAATTTTAGTTGTGCTGAGTAATGCTAGAAGCCTATGCAGTGAGGCTTGGGCTCCTTAGGGTGGTTATTAGCTCTGTCTCCAGCATGTAGAATTGGAAAGCTGTATTCTACAGTAACTTAAAACTCTTCTTAGTGTTTTCTGCAGATCTCAGTCAGGTAGGATTGTTCTTAGTTGTGCTTTCTGTGATTCCAGAAAAATGGCTGCTGTCATTTCTCTGATGAAGAAACTTTTGTGTTGATCTTAGATCCTTCTGCTTCTGTTTCCTTTTGGAAATCAGGCCTGATCCTCTCAGTTTTCAGTTATTTGATGGCTTTACCTCCTTAATGCTACCCATTTAAGCCCTAAGTCAGTGCAACAGCTGGAGGAGTAGGCAAATTTACCACTTGCTGCTGATCAAAACTCATATGCCAAATGCAACTGTTAAATTTATAGAGCTCTTCACTAATGTTACTGGTGGAAGGAGAGGCTACCAGCAAGTTCTTGCTTTTACCACTTGGTGAAAATAGTTGGTAAGCCAAAGGAATACCTTGGACTACTCCTCTGTATTTCTGAGCTTAGCTGTATGTTGCTTCAATAGATGCAAAAGCAAGTTTGGCCACTGGCAGGGCAGGGCTGATGGCCTTGTAACCTCTCACATTGGGAACACATGGAGATACCTCATCTTCGTTTTGTTTCTAGAATTGTCTGCAACTGGGCTGGGTTATGCATGTTACATTCCTTCTCCTTACTGTTCCTCTTTAAGTTATACTTCCGACTCTTAAATTTTTTTAAAGAGCTTGCATTATCGTAAGTTTGTTATATTCTTTTTGTTGTTGTTTGGTACAGGGTCTCACAAGTACTAAGGAAACACTCTAACACTGAGCTACATCCCAGCCTGGGTTAGATTCCTGCTCAAGATTTTTTCTTTTAATAACGTTTCTGGTAGCCCAGGCTGGCTTGGAATTTGATATATAGCTCAGAACTTAATATATAGTGAGAGATGTCCTTGAACTTCTGATCCTCCTGTGTCCAACTCCTGAGTGCTAGGATTATGGGCATACACCACCATATCCAGATAGAAAGTGCTGGGAATGGAACTCAGAGCTTTGTACATGCTAAGCAAGCATTGTACCAACTGTGCTCCAGCCCCAACCCCCAATTTTTAATACCAGTAAAATATACATGGCATACAATTTGTCATTCTTAAACATTTTTTGTTTGATTGTTTTTGTCTTTGTCCTTGTTTTAGTTTGAGATAGGGTCTTGCTTATGTAGCCTAAGGTTACCCTGGAACTCACTATGCAGCCCAGACTGGCCTTGAATTCATTTTTCTCCTGAGTTCTGGGATTACAGGTGTGTACCACCGCACCCAGCATCATCTTCAGCATACAGTTCAGTGGCACTAAGTGCATCAACTGTACAACCACCATTACAATCCATCTTCAAAATATTTTCATCTTGAAAAACTGAAACTCTGTAGTCCCTACCTCCTCTAGATCCTGATAAACCTGATATAGTTTCTGTTTCTATGAATTTGAGAACTCTAAGTACTTCATACAAGCAAACTCATACAGCATTTGTCCTTTTATCATTAGCTTGTTTCACTTAGCATATTGTCTTCAAGATTCAGCAATATTGTAGCATATGTCAGAATTTCCTTCCTTTTTAAGGATAAGTAGTATTTCACTCTGTATACAGATCTATATATATACACACACATATATAGGCACACATACCCATGCATTCCACAGTCTACTTATCTGTTCACCTATTGTAAGATACTTGGATTCTCTCTTTCTTTTAGATATTATGAATTATGTTGCTATGAACATGGCTGCACAAATATCAGTTTGAGTGTCTGTTTTTAATTCTTTTGAGTAGACACCCAGACAGGGAATCACTGGATCATATGGTAGTATTAAGTTCTGACTTGTCATTCTCTATCCTGTAAAGTCGGATTTTCTAGGCAGATTTCTCTCTATTTCTGCATGCTTTATCACATATCAACAATTCCAATTGTCTTTCTATAAGAATTCTTTTTTTTTCTGTGACTAGCAACTGAGAAGTCAGTTCTTGATTATACCTTTTAAAAAGTGTATATTTTTAATTATTATTTTATATGTGGGAGTGTTTTGCCTGTGTGTATGTAAGTGCACCATGTGCATGCAATGCCCACAGAGCCCAGAGAGGGTGTTGGATCCTCTGGAACTGGAGTTATGGTCAGATGTTAGCTACCATGTGGGTGCTGAAACCCGGGTCCTCTGCAAGAGCAGCCAGTGATTTAACCATTGAGCTATCTCTCCAGCACCCTGGATTATGCCTTTAAAGGAATACCCCAGCCTCTGAAAAACATTGCTCTATGAAACTAGAATTCTCAGATTCTAGAGTAAAACATAACTATCGATGATAGAATGACTAAATGTCCTTGGAAATAAATTCCCTGACAGTATATATCATGCATTTGTAAAATGTCAAGAATTATTTCTTTAGAATTTGTGGACCAAATGTTCTTAAGTGATTATATGCATAAATTGTGTCATATTTAGTAAATGCAGTTATTCAAAGTCAAATCTTACATTTTGTAGGCTTGTAACAAATAGCACCATCCTTAACAGAGATACATTTTTCATGTTTCCAAATTCCTTTTGGATCTAAGACAACACAATTTCCAGGAGATTTTGTGTCTTTCCACGGGATATAGTCGAACGCACTGCCATCAGACCATTCAAAACTTGATTCACTTCCCTGTTTAAGAATTGTACAGATAACCTAAGCTCAGATGTGTGACTTCAAAAAGAACATAAAAAAATAATTCACATACATTAAGAAGTATTGGAGTGGAAGGCTAATTGTATACATATAAATATTGTCTAGATCTAGCTGCAAAATCAGAGATTTATTTATTTTTTTTCTAGATAGAGTCTCCCTGTGCCTCAGCTGGCCTGGAACTCACTACAGAGATCAGGCTGGCTTTGATCTCACAGATATCTGCCTGCCTCTGCCTCCTGAGTGCTGGGATTAAAGGTGTGTGCCACCATGCCCAGCTGGAAATTTACTTTTGATACATTAATTTGGAACTTTTGCTCTGGCAGAATTTAAGCAGGACTTTAAATTTAGAGATAAACAGTACATTCTGTTTCTGGATTTATTTATTGAGAGGATAAATTTATGTAACACTCGAAATTCAGTGGCAAACATTGAATTCAATGGGAAACATTTACCATAATTAAAGATTCAGAATCCCAACGCTCATGTTCTGAATATTGGTTTTTTTTTGTGTGTGTGGTGCTGGGAAGTGAACTTAGGGCCTCACACAAGCTAGGCAAGGGTTCTACCACTGACCTATATTCCCAGACCTGAATATCGTTTTCTATGTTTTAAAGTTTTATGGTTTGTATCTGGCTACATTCTCTACATTACAGAGACCACCACACAGCAAGGCTAGAAAAGGAAGTAATTCTCAAGAAACTAAAAATGAGAAGGCTACTTTTGATTTTTCCTTTCGTGTATAGTCTTAATTTGTACTCTTTCTTTTATTTTCTTCATTCTTTTCTGAAGATTATTTAAATGAGGCCCACAACTCTCAATTAATGGCTATTTTTGCATACCAGACATCATTAGAAGTACATACTAATTGGATTCAAATGTGGCACCAAAGATGTGCTTATTAGCAGAAGATTAATCTTAAGTAATAATAATTTCTTTGGGAAAAAGTGGGAAGAAAGTTATATCTTAACAATATTGAGGATTTTGGTTGGCAACTATATAAATTTTTTATTAAAATCTAAAAGAAAATATTATTAGCCTGATTTTACCAATGAGGAACCAGGATTACAAAGGTTTAACCTACTCACTATCTTCTAGCACATAAATGGCAGATGTGTCACCAATACTGAAATTTAGGCTTTTCTGGTTTTATGCTATTTTCTTCTTACTGGCTTTTCAATTGGTCAGTCCCAAATTAGCTTCAGGGACTTGGGATGCAGTTCATAGTTAGAGCCCTTGCTTAACATGCACAAGACCTTAGGTTTGATCCCAAGACTCACAACAAAACCAAACCAAAAAAAAAAAAACAAAATGGTTACAACAGTGCTGTTGAGATATTACTCCACTGGACCCACAGGCTGATCTGGCCATTTGCTTATGTACATTCTAAAATTTTTTAATTTGTTCTATGCTGAAAAAGTTTAGGAAAACATCAAGACTTAACCTATTATTATATTTTGAATTAATATCATTCTTAAAATTCTAACTCTCAAAGTTATAGATTTGGAATATTTCTGGAAAATAAAACAAGACTTACGTCATGACTTGAGAGCCCAACCCATAGAGGGAATCCATCACGATTTACAATATCCTCTAGAAAGAGTTGCCCGTTCTGGTTGTGAATACTTGCCAAATGTCCTCCACTTTGAGAACACATGTTCAATGCTTCATACCATGTTACCTTTTTCTGAATAACATTATAAATGCCATCTTCATATGGAATAAACTGTGGCAGAGTAGTGTTGTGCTCTTCCTTGTAGTCAACTATAATATTCCAAATAAAAGAGCTAATAAATAAATTTAAATAATTTCAAATACGTATTTTGGATAAAAGGACCTGCAATTATTTCAAAAGTTAGATAAAACTGAGTTTCTTAATTCATAAAGAAGTCAAATGCAAATTTATTTTTCTTATTTCCACAGCATATATAATAGATTCTTAAATATTAGAGTTTCCGTGTTAATTTAGAAATGCTTAACATGATGGAAAAATTGATGATCACCTGGATATGTGAGACTGACTGTAATGGATTTATCTGCACCAGGGAGTCAGAAAGGGTGCTTGCTAAACTAGGCCTGTAGTGTAGGGGGAAATTAAGACTAAAGAGAAAGAATATATTCAGAAAGTAAGGAAGTGTTGAAAACAAGCAAATCAATATGTAAAACACAGCTATGAGGGACTATGAAAGGGTTACTCCATGCTGGCATCCAAGGAAAGAGCTCCCAGTAGTCAAACTGGAACAACCAGGTGGAACAATGAGTAGTGTTGTATGTTGGGTAAAAATCGAAGTATCTTTTCTTTCTTTCTTTCTTTTTTTTTTCAAAGACAAGGTCTCAGGTACCCCAGCCTGGACTCAAACTCACTATGTATCCAAGACTGGCCTTGAATTCTCCATCCTCCTGCCTCCACTGTAAGTGCTAGGATTACAGACATGTGCCACTGTGCCTGGCTTCAAATATAAAACTAGTAACTATGAGTCCACAATAGGAATAAAAGGTTAAACGAAAAATAAAAATAAGAAATTGGGCTGGTGAGATGGGTCAGAGGGTGAAAGCTTGCTATGTAAGCCCAATGACCTGAGTTCAAACCCACATAAAGGTGCAAGAGAGAACCAACACAACAAAGTTGTCCTCTGATCACACTGTAGAATGCAAGCACCCCCACACAAATCACATACACATACATACACATAATAATAATGATAATGATAATAATAAAAAATTCTAAAGTAATTAAACAAAAAAACTACAAAATTACAATGATGAGTCAGTCATAAGCATATGACTGAATACATTTTTAAAAGACAGAGAATAGACAATTCTTGTATAGAATTCCAGGCAATCATGTAGATACTTCTGCCTCAAGATGATAGAGGACAACTCTCTCCCCTGTAAGTGTGGACTGAGCATAGTAACTCTCTTTACAGAGAGTACAGCATGGAGATGAGGACAAGGAACAACTTTGCAATTGAGAAACGTTAGCAAACACAACCTAAACCCTAGTGACAAATGCTTAAATAGACAATGATGTTGATAGCATTCACTGTTCATAGGCTAGGGCAAAAATGACACCTTCTCCCAAACTCAAAATCCCAGTTTAATCATGAGAAAAACATAAGCCAATTTAAACTGAGGGATACTCTAGAAAACATATGACCAAAGTGTCTCAAAGCTGTTAAGGTTTTCAAAAATTAGAAGAATCATCACAGGCAAGAGGAGCCATGCTGAGACTAAAGCAGTATCCTGGATAGACTCCAAGTAGGAAAACGACATGAAGTAAAGTCTAGGGAATGTGAATACTGCATGGGCTTTCATTAGGAGTAATGCACCAATGTTGGTTCATTGTGACAAATGTGCCATACTAATGGGAGATGCCAACAACTGGGAAAAGTAGTTGTGGGACATATGGAGACTCTCAGCACTATTTGTCCATCTTTTTTGCAAATCTAAGTCTATTCTAAGATGAATGTTACATTAAAATGTAAAGAATGGGAGGTTGAGAGATGGGTAAGGGGCTAAGAGCACTGGCTGCTCTTGCAGACACCCGGGTTTGGTTCCCAGAACCACCCACATGGTAGTTAACAATCATCTCTGGTTCCAGAGGGTCTGATGCCCTCTTCTGGCCTCTATGGGAACTACACTCACAGGTGCACTTACATACATACAGGCAAAACACTCCTACACATAAAAAGGGAAATTACAGATGGAAAGTTTTTTGGCACAAAGAAGACAAATAAAGCTACAAATATGTGAGTGGACATACAGGGAACAATGAAGTTATTGGTCTGAGAAAAAGATGCTCAATGAGCAGGAATAGGAGAAAGATAAAGGCTGGGAGAGGCTTAGACATTAGGAAGAGATGATGCTGTCTAATGTCTTAAACATTTACAAGGACTTGGAGCAACTGACAACAGGGCATCCATGAAGACTGCTAATGTGAAAGGTCTCCAAGACATCGCTCTGTCACACCTGGAAGGGAGGCAGTTCACTAGGGTGCCACTGTGATTGTTCTATATCAAGAGATGACTTAGAGTAGACTGCTAGTAGCAAAAGGTTTTAAGCTGAAAACAATTGAAGCAGAATTTATATTTAAAAATAGGTTTATTTAATAATTAAGGCAGGGAGACATTCATTTTTCCTAGATGAATGTCTCTACACACACATTTTCTCCTTTATAAAATTTATGTCCATTTCTCAAGACCCAAGCAAGTGTCACCTCCTCCTAAAGGCATTCTTGCTCTCATTGAACTCTTTTGTCTATACAAATAATCTAAGACTAGCCTTCATATGATAAAGAAGTGAATGCTGTCTCTCCAGCCTTGTTGAGGTCAAAACCAGGATACCAAGGGCCTGGGCTTCGTCTGCTTTTGTAACCTCTTCAGTTCTTCATGTGGGACTGAATGTGGAAGAAGTACTTAAAATACAGAATGTGTGTTATATAGGCATATGACATCTCACGAGTGGAGCTAATGGTCTTATACTTTCTTGCCCTGGAGTGGAAACCACACTTTTTCATATTAACTGTTGTGATTTAAGTGAGGATTGCTACCAGCTGATGGTGCTATTTGGGAAGGCTGTGGAACCCTGCAGAGGTAGAGCCTTGCTAGAGGAAGGGGGTCACTGGAGGATGGGCCTTGATGGTTCATAGCCTGCTTCCTTCCTGACTATGATGCAATATGATCTGCCATCCTCCTGCTCCTGCCACCATGTCTTTCCTGCCTGTTGCCATGTCTTCTCCACCATGATGGACTGTATTCCTCTAGAACTGTGAGACCAAACAAGCTCTTTCTCCCTTAAGTTGCTTTTGTCAGGGTATTTTATCACAGCCACAGAAAAGTAACTAAGACACTTACCCATTTCAATTTTACAAGCAAAAATGCTGTGCTGGTGAAAATAAAGTGTTTCTTCAATAACACTAAAGGGCTGAATATCCCAGAAGCCATCAGTGCTCAGACCAGCCAAAAACTTGTCATTTTTCACAGTTGGTCTTCCTCTTCGCCAGTGTGTATATGACAGTGCGGTCTTATCAAACCACATCAAGGAATTATCTAGAGAAAAAAAAATTTTTATGCTTAGAGGTTAAATCAAAATTGTTGTCACAATACTAATATTTAAAATAAATTTGGGGCTGGAGAGATGACTCAGTAATTAAGAACATTGGCTGCTCTTGCAGAGGACCCAGGTTTTGTTCCTAATACCCACATGGTGGCTGACAATTGTCTATAACTCCAATTCCAGGGGATCCAATGCCCTCTTTTTGCCTCTGCAGGCACTGGACACATGGGTGCACTTACATATAGGCAGGCAAAACACTCATACACATAAAATAAAAATAAATGAATAAAAAAATTTAAGTTAACTAATTTTCTTTCTCTTTTCCCCAGATTCTAAAATCTGATATCTCTTTAAAATATCTTCTTATTATAACAGTAAATCATGCTTATTTTTAGTTCAAAAATATATAAGTATGGAAATTTAAACTATAATCCCACTCTTCAATAGCTTACAATTTGTTACTTTTCATCAAATATCCACTTTTATTACATATTTTTAATTGTAATGGAAATGAAAATAACTATTTTATTTTAAAATTCTTGATATTTTACAGAATTAATGATAGAAATTTTTTTCTCTGAACATACTCTGTGCACAATTTGCAAACTCATGACTGACTGATTTTATGATGGACCAGTCAATTCACTGTGGAGAGAACAGTCTTCTCAACAAACAGTGCTGAGCAGCTGTATATCCACAGGCAAAATAATGAATTGGAGTCCCTTGCTGTTACCATATACAAAAATTAACTCAACCATAGACATAAATATAAGAGCAAAAACTGTAGAATACTTACAAGAAAATACAGGGGTAAGTAATCATGGCCTTGCAGTAGACAAAGCCTTCTTATACATGTACAAATGGCAAGAGGAGAAGCAAATTAAAGACAAGAATTTCTGTGCTATCAGAAAAGTGATAGGAAAAATATTTGAAAATTGTTTAACAACAATTTAAATATAGAACATGTAAAGAATGTTCACCACCACAACAATAAAAAGACAAATAATTTAATTTAAAAATAGACAAAAGGCCAGAATAGAGACATCTCCTAAGGTGATATACAAACAACCAATAAGTGTGTAAAAAGATGCTTCACCATCATTAACCATCAGAAAGCTACAATAACTTACAAAACTTACAAAAACTTCAACTATATTATCATCTTATACTCGTCTGAAGAACTACCATCAAAAGGATGTATTAAAATAAATGTTGGCAGGGGCTGGAGAGATGGCTCAGTGGTTGAGAGCACTGACTGCTCTTGCAGAGGACCCAGGTTCAATTCCTAGCATCCACAAGGTAGCTAACAACTGTCTGTAACTCCAGTTCCAGGGGATCTGATGCCCTCTTCTGACCTCCACTGGCACTGCATGACATGGGTGTACCTACCTACATGCAGGCAATACATTCGTACACATAAAATAAAAATAATAAATAATAAATGTTGGCATAGATATGGGGAAACTAGCATTCTCCTACATGGTGGTAGCAATGGAAAATATGCAGATGCTTTGGAAAACAATCTGGCAGTTCTTTAAAGTATTAAACAAAAGGCCATTAGGAATTGTATACCCATGTACACCCAAAAAACTAGAAACATGCTTACACAACAATGTGCACACGAATATTCAGAGAAGCATTATTCATAGTAACCAAGAATATGAAAACAAACTGCTGACCAATGACGGACGGATACAAAAAGTGCAGTATCTCCACGGATGGAACATTATTCAGCAATAGGAAGGAATGGTGCACTGGGACAGGCTACAGTGTGGAAGAACCTGGAGGAACCTTTATGCCAAGTGTGGGAAAGCAGTCATAAAATAATCACACACTGAGGCTGGTGAGTTGGCTCAGCAGTTAAGAGCACCGGTTCTTCTTATAGAGGACCTGGGTTAGGTTCCCAGCACCCACATGTGGTTAACAACCATCATAACTCCAGTTCCAGGGGATCTGACACCCTCTTCTGGCTTTTATGGGCATTGCACACATGGTTGTGCTTACATATATGCAGGAAAAACACTCAAACACATAAAATTAAAAATAAATAATTTTGAAAAGTCACATGTTGTATGATCCCATTTCATGGAATGTCTAGAACAGGTAGTTTGTAGAAACAGAGAGCAGTTTAGTAGTTTCAAGGCACAGGGAGGGAATGGACTAATAAGTATGGTGTTTCTTATGTGGGTAGTGATAGATGCACAACCCTGTGACTACTAAATGCTATTATACTGTACACTTCAAATAGCCAAGTTGCAAGAAACAGGAATGTCTCAATAAGGAGTTGAGAAAAGTTGTCATTATTAAAATTATGAACTGGAATAAAGGGTAAAGTCATTGTTTTCTATATATACCTGCTGTCCCGATTATTTATTCCTTTCTCTGATTACCACCACTCAAGTTTTAATATGTCTTGACATCTGCCTATGCCAAGGGCACACTAGAAATCTATTCATATTTTCTTCTCCTCTACTGCTTTATGTCACCTTATGTTTCCTACTTCCTTTTTCCTTCTCTGAAATGTATCAGTTTCCTGACCAATATAACACATAATGGTGTATTTCTCAAGTTGCTGTGAGACTATTACATTCTTCAACGGGCTTGATATATCTCTGTTAACCATACTGTATAAGTAATTTCTATTCATGGCCTCACTATTTAAAAGTCAGATGGTTTTAAAAACCAAAATTCTTTGTATAGGTGCTTTATACAATTAAATCTTCTATACATATTTTGAAGTAACAGCGATTCCTAGGTATACATTTAGCCAGTAAGAATTAGCTTTAAACTCAGTTTACTGTTTGAAAGATCTTTTTTATACATCTCTCAGATGTCTATGTAGTTTGGTAAAAATTTTGTTATGTCTATATTTTATAAAAGAAGTTAGGGCAACTAAAGGAAGTCTTCATATCTGAAAATGTTTTCATATAATATAGAATACACTTTTAGTTGCTTTTGATAATATAATTAGAAAGTACATTTGAGAGTACAATTTATTTATTTATTTTACTAAATTTCAAAGTTAGCATACAAAGTACTGGGTTTCACTATGGCATTTTCATGCCTTTATGCTCCCCTTCCCCATTGCCCCTCCCCTCCCTGCCCCACTGTGGCAGGTCTGCTCCCCCATTCTCACTGTGGCTGGTCTGCTCCCCCACTCTCACTGTGGCTGGTCTGCTCCCCGACTCCCACTCTGGCTGGTCTGCTCCCCCACTCCCACTCTGGCTGGTCTGCTCCCCGACTCCCACTCTGGCTGGGCTGGTCCCCCCCCTCCCCCCCGGGAAGTGTGCACCCCCCCTCCTACCCTGTGCGGGCTGCTCCTCCTCCCCCCGCGTATCCGCGTCCGCACCACGTCACACACCTGCACCGCCCCCGCTACACCCCTACACCCCACCCCCTCCCCACCCCCCCCCCCCCCCTCTGGCAGGGCTGCTCCCCCACTCCCACTCTGGCAGGTCTGCTCCCCCACTCCCACTCTGGCTGGTCTGCTCCCCCACTCCCACTCTGGCAGGTCTGCTCCCCCACTCTCACTCTGGCAGGTCTGCTCCCCCACTCCCACTCTGGCTGGTCTGCTCCCCCACTCCCACTGTGGCAGGTCTGCTCCCCCACTCTCACTGTGGCTGGTCTGCTCCCCCACTGCCACTCTGGCAGGTCTGCTCCCCCACTCCAACTCTGGCAGGTCTGCTCCCCCACTCCCACTCTGGCAGGTCTGCTCCCTCACTCTCACTCTGGCAGGTCTGCTCCCCCACTCCCACTCTGGCTTGTCTGCTCCCCCACTCCCACTGTGGCAGGTCTGCTCCCCCACTCTCACTGTGGCAGGTCTGCTCCCCCACTCCCACTCTGGCAGGTCTGCTCCCCCACTCCCACTGTGGCTGGTTTGCTTCCCCACCCAATAGTTCCCTTTCTGCTTTTCTGTCACATGTCATATTCCCAGAGGGTATAATTCAAATCTTTATGTCCCAAGTTTGGTCTCAATTACTCAGTACAAGCCCAATGCTGAATCACTGACAGGTAAAGCTTAGAAAATTTCCCACTAGTTTCTTTCCAATTTTATACTTCTGAATTTTCAAGTGAAGAAAAGACATGGCTCAACTACGTCCTATTATGGTAAACTTAGCCTCACCTAACAACCTGAGTTTTCTCTTTTGTTATTAGTTTAATCATCATTAATTCATCCATAATAATATTTCAGGAAATTCTGGGAAATCCTAAGAAATAGGTTAAATAATAAAGAAAAGCCCATTTTTTAAATATTATTTTTTATTTTTTTTAGAAGAAGCATATCATTACAGTTTTAACATGCCCAATAACAGTCTCCAGAACAAAGACACAGCTCCTTCAAAAAATAAAATAATATAAAATTTCTAGGTTCACTGTTGAATCGATACAGTTATACAGTATTGAACTCAGTATAAGCTCTGTAAGACATAAAATTGAATGAGTTTTTAACCCTCAAAAGAGATCTCCATTTCATTCTAAAATACGCTGTTTCTTACAGAAAGACTCATTGTTTTTGCTACTAACACTGAGATGTTGGCACATGTGTCTCTAATCTGTATGTATCTGATTATTACTAGTCATAATCGTTTGCACTCGGATCCTTGGTGCCTGTGTATGTCTATAAAGTCATCGGGTAGATTTTAATGGTAATGTTCATCACCTCTACTAATTAACATTATGTAAACTTTTATGAAGAAAAGGTCATTTTCAAAATGGTCAGATTTGAGTAACTAGCTTCTTTTCCTACCTACTTGCACCTCTGCCATTATTAAACCCTTTTTAGGATACGTGCATACTTCCCATGCTTTGTGCCTGTCATGGAGGAGTTAGCGCCAAGATTGACCAACACCCTCCACTCCCCAGTAAAACAATAAAGGACAACAGGTGGCCTTGGTTACTCCAGTGGGCCATAAAGATCATGGTGGTGGTCCACTGGTGCTCAAAATATAATGATAGTGGTGGCAGTCTCTCCAGATGGGCCAGCTCAGAACCCTCAGGACAGGATGTAAGGACCAGCGTCTGACAGTGGCCTATGCTAGCTATGTCAGATTAAAGCAACTTCAGGACCTCCTCTCCAGGGGAGCATGAGAGTGCCGCTACCCTTTCCTCTAGAGAACTTTTCAGTTTTAGGAATACTCAAACCACTATACATAGTCTCACATCTCATATCTATTTAAAAGACTGATCCCTGGGTAAAATGCGCTTCTGAGAAAAGTATGCCCCTTTTCTGGAAGTGCCCACACCAGGGGAGGCACAGGAAGAGGAAAGCCATAAAGCCCGTCTTGCTATTTGGCAGGCTTGTCCTCTAAAGTGTGTGTTATTGCTTCCTTGCTTGCTCTAGTTAAACTCTTGACCACCTGATCTACTACTGTGTCCTCTATGAATTCTTTTCTTTCAGGAGCTCAAGAACTAAGGGTGCTGCTGGGGTGGAAACTAGAGGGTGCTGCAGACCTCTCCCCCCACCCAAGATTTCATGGGTTTCAGGACATCTCTGGTTTTCTTTCTAAACTGGTCTTGTTTCTCCTATATTAGATAAAGTGTTCTAAAATTTTTCATGTCCATCATATTTTGGAGTTGTATATTTCAAATAGTCTATCCCACTATTGGACTAGGAACTTTATTTTTCTGTTGCTTGCCATATACACACCCAAGCCAATGCTATAAACACAAATGTGAAATATTAATAGAACTGTGATTCTGTTTTTGCTCTTCCCACATAGTTAATGGGAGCATGGACTGAGGATTTATATAGGAATGTGGTTATTTTAAATTAGTCTTTAGTTGCTAGAAAAAAGTGGAGAAGGGAAATTATTTTATGCTGTTTAACTCTAAGCTTGGTGGTAAAGGTGTATTAATGGTAGAGCAGAGACACAAACATCATAGCAGTGTATTATGTTTATAAACATAGTATCAATATATGTGTTCCTTGAAGAATTGTATTTTGTAGCTTGAAAAATAGGTTATAATGAAGAACTAATATGAAGTCAGGAGTTAACACTTACTTTCATAAGTTATTCCTAACATGACCCATGAAGCAATATAATTGAAGTATAGAAGTTGTTCAAGAACAAAGTTATTCTCCTTTTCATCTCGAATACTCAGAATATGTGCTTTTGAATCTGTTAAATAAAAATTAATTGTAATAATTACTTTTCACAAAATATTTTACTTGAAAGATTTAGAGAGTTTTACTTTCCAGGTATATATTCTTTCAAACTTATAGAGTATTGGGACATTAGAGAGCCATATATATCAAAACTATAGCATCATACTAAGGTAATAGACTAAGAAGTTTTCAAACATTCTGATGTTAAATTTGGTCCTACAGGATAGTGGAAATCTAGAGAATTTAAGACACTCACTTTAATTCCTTTTATTTGAAGCTCATCTTCAGGTGGTACAAACCCACCTGTTATTAATGGGCTACTGTTAAAGACTACACTGTAGTGAACAACACTTCTCAATGAGTTATAAGACAGATCTCCCTTTTCCTTACATCACTGCTATATCAAAGTTAAAGAAGCTTATTATTTCTTAAGAAGCTTATTATTTCAGGAAAAAAATGTTTCACAGAAAAAATATGTATACATGGATAAAATGCTTATAACCACCGGTCTAAAAGTTCGGCTAGCTCAATTATGCCCATATTTCTTTAAGTGCATGCTGATGTACTTTGATAATGTCTGACAGGAGACACATAGTCTAGTGTTTCTCAAATTCAATCTTTGTTGTAGAACTTCTTTTAAACCTAGTACTCTTAAGACATAGCACACTGAGGGAAAATGACATGGTATTTTCCATAGGAAGAGTCCATAGAGTTCATAGTTCCTTCAATTCCATCATTCAAAAGTCACAAATCCTCAGTGGGTTTCATTAGAAAGCTCTCTAGGTCCTGGAACTCAAAGGGCCCAGTGTGAATTTCCTTCCAGCGGGGCCCTGGTTAGTGGTGCACACTTGCTTCCGACCACTTGGGGTAACCTGTTTCACTTTACTTAGTCTAGCTTGCTTCATATACAGTTCTCTGTTCTCTCATCTGGAAATTAGGATAGATATATCCATATACATACATATACATATATAATATGCATATGAGATTTAGTTACTAGTGCTACTTAGAAATATTTGTAACAGGTGATTTAAAAAAATTAGCACATCTCAATATGTGATGGATATACTCACTCAGTTTTTGGCATCTAGAATGAACTTCGTCCTGCAAGATTGTCCTATGTCTATCCTTCGTTATCATGAAGTTGTAGCAAGAGTTCTGAAATGGTATCCATGGAGTATTTAGATGAGGAGAGGGACACTTCACACTCTCCAATGGTTTGACCTCTTTTTCAGTTTCATCTAGAAAAAGAATTAATGGTAAAAATTCAGTTTCAGACGTAAATGTTAAATCCTGTTCACAGTCATTAGACTTGATTTTTAGGAAACATTCAGGAAGTGAGGAAGTAACAACTTGGCATTGCTTGTTCTGTTTACACTCAAATACAGGGTAAAGAAAGCTGGCTTTCAGTGGAGAGGAAATTATTTGACACAATTTTCTTCCCCCTGCTGTGGAGTGGAAGAATGTGAAAAAATGAGGTGATTTTAGGTTGATGTAGCTTCTGTCTTCCTGCATTATTAAATGTCAAGTACAAGGAGCCTCCTCAGAGAAACTATATAAACATATTAATTAATAATAGGTGCCTAACTACAACTGTGAAGATTCATTTTCAAGTTTCTGCTTAGTGACATCTCTAATTTTAAAGGAGCAACCTAATGAAATAGTTATTTTTTTAATCAAACAGAAATGTCATTTAAAATGTGGCATGTAGAATATCTGCTTTTTTTCATTTTATGAAACAGCTATATATATTCAAGAAGATGCAAATGTAGAAATACTGTACTTAAAATAGGTCAGACTAATCTACTATGTCATAGAGACTATTCAGTATCTCTCCCAGCTTGCAATAAATCCTTTTGTCTTGAAACAGTGTGCTCTTTCTATTGCAAACCCACAAATGTGGGCCCCTGATGGGGCAAGAGAGTGCATACCTGACTCAGGCTTAGCCCGTCAGATCCTAAGAATTTGAAAAGTGAGATTCAGAAATCATTTTAACTAATCTCCAGTTACATGCACAAGTGAAAATTGCAGAGCCAATGTTCTACTATGCATTCAGAGAAAGCAGAGGGTTTGTAAGGAGCAGAAGGCAGACACAATGAAACAAGGACAGGTGCAAGGGTGCATCTCTAGGTGTCTCATTCCCAGGAGGCTGAGCTCCATCCTTGTTGGCAGGGCAAGGTTCTAAATTTCCCTTTTGGCTTAAGCTACTTTGAGTGCATTGTTGGTACTTGTAACCAATGGAATCTTCATTTCTGAGGCAGGGCCTTTCCCTATAGCAGGCTTCACAAGATCTTGCCAACCTCCTGGTCTACCTCCTAAATGCTGGGATTACTAATATGTGTCACTAAAAATAGCCCCACCTGAATCTTAACAGTGGCCCAGGCAATTTTAGCTGTCAATGTTAAGAATCAGTTATACAGCCGGGCGTGGTGGCACACGCCTTTAGTCCCAGCACTTGGGAGGCAGAGGCAGGTGGATCTCTGTGAGTTCAAGGCCAGCCTGGTCTACATAGTGAGTTCCAGGACAGTTGAGGCTACAGGGAGACCCTGTCTCAAAAAGACCAAAAAAAAAAAAAAAGGAAAAAAAAGAAAAAGAATTAGTTATAAAAGAGTTACCACAAAAGCTAGTTTTTAAAAATAATGTAAATAATGTAAATGTATGAAAACAAGGCTGAATAACAGTGGGACTTCATATGTCAATCAGTATTGTCAGCTGATATAAAAGTCAAAATCTAAAATAAAAAAGTTAATGACAAAATAATTAATTATCAATAATTTGTACACAATTTTTTGCACCAAAATTTTATTGAAAAAAGGATAACGATTTCCTCATAATTTCAAAGTAAGCTTTTTTACAAAACCACTTGAACAAAATTCTACTATTCATATGATGGATAATTGAGGAATGAAAATATTTGGAATTCACATACTTCCTGGATAGTAGCAAATAGTACCCGGTTGGTTATCACCACAATTAGCTGTTTTCCAGAATCCATCAGCATCTAATATCACACAGTCATCAAGATGCTTGTTGTTTTCAGCCCAGTGACTAAAATGAAGGTGTTTTCCATCTGACCAGCCAAAGTTGAGTTCATCCTATGAGGTACAGAAACACATTTCAAGGTGACAATATTCACATTATCCCTTTCACAAAATTTTGATCCATGAGATCAATGAAATAGCTATTAGTTGTATTTTAAATTTAACATACACTTACAGAAGCCCTTCTGCACATTAGGCACTGTCTTAAATGCTTGATATTAACGTAGGTAATTCTCATACCAATCTGAGAGAGGTACTATTATCTCCACTTCACATATGAAAAAACTGAGCATGTGAAACGTGCATATTCACACAGAGCATACGTTGCAGGGCTAAGACTGTAACCCAGGCTGTTAGACTCTAGGCTCCATGTTCCTAACCATTATGCATCGCTGCTCACACATCATCAGAACTATTGTTTGTTTGAAACCAGAAAGCTAAAATGGAGCAGGGACTACCGTAAACATGAGGGACACTGAAGACAATGTGGCATACCAGAAAGAACAGAGTGGAAAGAAACCTCTCTGCTTCTGAACTGTGGGCCCTCTCCCATTCCCATCATACATGTACTAACTAATATTAACACTAAGAGAAAATGGAGTAAGGAAAAAGACCAAATCATTAAGTGGGCGGTAGGAGAAACTTGTTAGACGTGACTTTGACTGTGTTAAAAATAAATCCATCTATTCAGAAAAGTACTTGAAGGGTACATACAGAAATACTAAACCACATTTATCTTCAGATATTTTAATAACAGTGACTTTCCATTAAACAGTGACTTGTTTATTTGTCTGAGAAGAATCTCACTCTATGACCTAGGATGGTCTGGAACTCAGTCTGTAGCCCAGGCTGGCATTCAACTGAAGATAATCCTACTGCCTTAGCCTCCCAAGTATTAGGATTACAGGTGTGAGCCTCCACACCTAGCTAAACAATGACTTTAATAAAAGTGATTTTAATTTTCTTCTTTTGAGTTACTATATTTTATAATTTTAAAATTTACCTTTGTGTGTATGATGTATGTGAATGTGCATGTGCATGTGTATATGCACCATAGCTAGGGTATGGAGGTTGGAGAACAACCTCAGATGTCAGTCCTCACTTTTCACCTTTGAGACAGCTATTGTGTCTGGCTTCATGTGGTTTCTAGGGATTCAAACTCACACTTACATGGTGTGATGGTTTGAGTCTGTGTCCTCCATAGGCTCAAGCATTTTAACACTTGGTCAGTTGGTGGTGGTTTGGAAAAGGTCATGGAACCCTTAGGAGGTGTGGCTTTGCCGGAGGAAGCACATCATAGCCTTGCCTCACTTCCTCTTGCTTTCTCTGCTTTCACCTGCCTGTGCTTGAAGATGTAAGTTCTCAGCTTTCTTCTCTGTCTGCCTCCTGCCATACTGCCCCACTATTACACTCTCCCTCTGGAACTGTAAGCCACAATAAACTTCCTTCTATAAGTTGCCTTGGTCATGGTGCTTTATCACAGCAACAGAAAAGTAACTACTATGGAGGGGCAGTGCTTTGCCTAGTAAGCCATTCCCGCAGTCCTACATTTTATAGTTTTCCTATAGTGATAATATCGCTTTCAGATTTAAGGTGACCCAGACTAAGAAATGTGCCAATTTACTGCTACACTCACAGTTGGCACAATAATGATTTTCACAGAACACTAAATACTGGAAACAAATAAAAGCAATGGTGTGAGGAAATGGACACTGAGAGGGATGAGAGAGCAGCTCCCTGGAATCCAGCTTGATCTGGAAATGTTACAATGCCCAGAGGCTTAGAGACATTATTCCAATTGGCTGTTTCTAAATGCTTCTTTTAACTGAGCTTCTAGTAGCAATTCTGGGAGTGGGAGTTGTCTTTTTTTTTTTTTTTTTTTTTTTTTTTTTCCTCCATTGATTTTCTAGTTCTGTTTTGGGTTTGTGTTAGGATTAAATTGTCTCCAATTTAATCCAATTTGTGTTAGGATTAAGTGTCTCCAATCACATTTTCCCCATGTAACTCCAGACCTGTCTTGATAGTTGGGGTAGGGCTGAAGAGAGGCAAATATAGCCTGCAATGCTAACCTTTCTCAAAACAAACAAATTAGTTAATTAATTAATTAAAAATTCCTGTTTGAACAAAGGCCAAAGCTCAGCTATGTTTGGTTCCTGTTTGTGCTGCATGCATGTAGGTCAGTGTTGGGAATTAACAGGAGCCTGGCATTCTTAGATGGGCTTTGATAGAAGAATTCAAGATGAGTAAACAGGAACAGGACTTGAGATTTAAGATTCTAACTCCTCAGAGCAGCCTAACTTCTCTGTGCTAGTTCTGAAAGTGATGGACAGCTCTCTTCCACACCGTCCTCGGTGCTTCCCACACCCAATCCTACGGGGATTTTAAATTCTTCCCTTCTTCTCAGCTTTTCTGGATCGAGGAGCTATGATAACTCCTGATTCTAGATCAGTTAATTAGGATAAATAAAAAGAACTGTTCAATGATTTGTGCCCAATAAAATTCATTCATCCAAACCACACGGCACAAGGTCTTTCACTTGAGGAAAGGTAATTGACATTTAAAAAGTTGATATTCATGAAACTAACTGGATAAGATTTTAGGTTCTTTAGTTTCTATTGGCCTACAAGAGGGGCTAATGCACACAATAAAAACCCCACATTCTTTTGCCTGGTCCCAATGGTGGGAGGTGAAAACTTACATCTTGACTGCAGAGTCCAATCCAGAAGGAAGAGTTGTGCAGGGTGGCCTGCACAGCAAGGAAGGCCTGCTGGTAAGGGTCTGTGATGCTCACCAGGCGCATGTTTTCGTTCAAACACTCCTTCAGAGCATCATACCAAGTCAGAGGTTTCCAGATGATTTTATACAGGTTATTTAGATACTTTACAGTTTCTGAAGTATTCTGCCAGAGCCGTCGGTTTTTAATTTCTATGTGTAAAAGAAAATATCACCACCACATTGGTGGTGGTGCATGCCTTTAGTCTCAAGAGGCAGAGGCAGGTGGATCTCTGTGAGGCCAATTTGGTGTACATAGTGAGTTCCAGGCCAGCTGGGACCAGGAGACCCTGTCCCCTCAAAACAGCCCCTAAGGCCCCCCAAAACAACAATAACCTCTCCCACACACTCTGTAAATCATAGGAGCCTTCTTCAGATTTCATCCCTTACTAGTTTACTTCGGATATTATTTGCTTATTTATTTAGATTTTAGGTGGGAGAATTAGGTGTGTCTTGCTGAGTATCTTAAATAAAACATATGACCTGCAACATTTGGTTTCCAAAATTTGACTTGGGAAGAGAAAAGCTACAAATACAATTACCATTACAATTACCAATTACAAATACAAATACCATTACCATTAAAAAAAACATTTTATTTTTTATTATTTTTATTTTTATTTTATGTGTATGTGTGTATTGCCTACATGTATGTAAGTGTACCCATGTCATGCAATGCTTGAAGACAGAAGAGGCTATTGGATCCCCTGGAACTGGAGTTACAGACAGTTGTTATCCTCCATGTGGGTTCTGGGATTCGAACCCAGGTCCTCTGCAAGAACAAATAATGTTCTTAACTATTGAGCCACCTTGCCAGTCTCCCATTCCATTTCTTATTGGTGGTAAATACCTCTTTAATCTGAACTGTTTTATCAGATAAGGTATTTTTTAAAGTTCCTTTACAAAGTTCTCATCTGGGAGACCTACCCTGAAAAAAATACACAATGCCACTTACAAGAGGATACATTTTAATTACTGCTTTATGGTTTTTGTCTGAATAAGGAAGTTATTAAAGAGTATGGGTGTGCTGGATAACTTTAGCTGTCAACCTGACACACCTGGGTAGAAGAGGCCTCAGTCGGGGAATTGCCTCCCATTGGACTGGCCCGTGGGCATGTCTGTGGGGGCATTTTCTTGATTATTGAATGATGTGGGACGGCTCAGCCCATGTGGACAGTGTCATCCCTGGGCAGGGGTCCTGTATTGTATAAAAAAGCAGGCTGAGCCCGGGCTGGAGGAGCAAGCCAGTAAACAGCAGACCTCCATGGTCTATGTTCCAGGTTCCTGCGCTGAGTTCCTACCTTGGGCTTCCTCAATGAAACTGTGACCTGGGAGATACAAATCAAATAAAACCTTTCCTCCCCAAGTTAGTATTGGTCAGAGTGTTTTGTCACAGCAATAGAGAAAGCTAATTAGAACAATGGGTCAAATGGGCAAAGATCAATTTAATAAGAAAGCTCTTCTAAAGTATATAAAATACATACTTTAGGTTCTCATTTATATAACAGAATTTTTTTCAAGCATTTGTTAGAAATCCATTGTAGTCACTTAAAAACATTGCAATATATTTTTAAGAAGTGAGTGGTTTCTATGTTTAAGTACACATTTTACCTTTATTTGGATTATGGGAGGGCAAAGACTGCTCTGATCACAGAGTTTCCTATAATGGTTAGTTTTAAGTGTCAACTTGCTACAACCTATAGTTACCTGAGAAGGGAGTCTCAGTTGAGAGACTGTCTAGATCAGGTATGCCTGTGGCATTTGTGTGGGTGATCCACTTGTTTGTTAATTGATGTAGGAGGACCCAGCTGACCCTGAGCAGCACCATTTTATGGGTTGGGCCCTGAACTGTATGAGAGGAAGAAGGGCTAGCTGAGCGATAGCAGCGAGTAAGTTTATTCTCTCTGCTTTTGGTGGTGGATGTGATGTGACAAGTTGCTTGAGTTCCTGCCTTGACTTCCTAGCAATAATGAACTGCAACCTGGGATTGTAAACCAAATTAACCCTTTCCTCCCCTGAATTGCTTTTGTCCACATATTTTATCACAGCAACAGAAATGCAAACTAGAATATTTCCTGTCTTTTTCTTGTTAGTCAAAGTTGTTTTGTGTGCTTGAACACACTCACATGCACTCATGTGTATGTGTGTGTGTTTAAACAATATTGGACTTTCCCCCAGACAAAACAAAACAAAACAAAAAAACCCAAAATTCAACCATAGCTCGCTTTACAATATTCAACTATAACTTTAATTAGATATATACTATTAACACAATCTATGATGTACTTAATATTTGTTGTTAACTAAACATGGTAGTGATGCTGGAAAGATCACATTCCTTAGGAAGTAATCTGCCTCACTATCAATATGTAATTGTCCAAGCTGAAATTTTAAACTATGTGATTATAAATATATACATTCATTTCTAAGATTTTTTTGTCTAAAAGAACCATCTAACAGTATAAAATACCGTATTTATCTAGATAACAGTTGATACCTGAATACTTCTGACAGAGAGACAGAGAGTGATGTTCTGAGCAGGAAGTAAAATTCCATGTCCCAGTAAGTGGTGATTTTTTGAGGTTGAGTATTAGGGCACAGCGGTAGTGAGACTCTTCATCAAAGAACTAAACAGAAAGGCAAATATTAACAGAGAATCATAAACCTAATAATTTAAAAATCTTTGCTAGAAATTTTGGACCTTACATTGGTGTTCCCCACCCCCCCATTAAAAAAATTCTCAAGAAAGGCTGGAGAGATCTGATTGTTTTTGCAGAAGACCCAGGTTCAAATCCCAGCACGCACATGGCAACAAACAACTGTCTGTAACTCAAGTTCCAGGGGATTGGACAGCCTCTCCTGTCCTCTGCGGGCATTGCATGACATGGGTGCACTTACCTACATGCAGGCAATACACGAATACACATTAAAAAAAAAATCTTAAAAAATATATTTATTAAAAAAAAAGAAAGAACTTACCATGAAATTTCTAACCAAACCCTGACAAACTTCCAAAGCATAGGAAAAGGGCAATTAACTTAGAATATTAGCAAACAAGGCCATTTTGTGGAGATGAGACTGAATGGTCCTGTGTGTTGCTGGCCTCTTGCAGCAATTAGCTTCTCATAGAACTGGGGAATAGGAAATTCAGAATGAAATCTTTTCTTTTTAGTTCTTCTTGGTTATAAATCACTTGAAATGTATCTTAGTAGACTTTCCTTATGTTAGATTAAAAAAAAAAAATCTTCAAGGGGCTGGAGAGACGGCTCAGTGGTTAAGAGCACTGACTGCTCTTGCAGAGGACCAAGGTTCGATTCCCAGCACTAACATGGCAGCTACGAACTGTCCTTAACTCCAGTTCTGGGGGAATCCAAAGCCCTCTTCTGACCTCCAAGGCATTGCACGATACAGGTGCACTAACATACATGCAGGCAATACACTCATACACATAAAATAAAAATAATAGATAAAATATTTTTAAAAATCTTCAGGTACAACTTCCAGCTTTGTGGTGAACCTTATCAAAGTCTAGGATTGCTACCAACAAGGCAGACCCTTGTTCTGTGAATCCCTAAATCTCAACACTCTTGTGGGCAAGAGGTTTGATGTGGAGGTGGTATTCTCAAAGTACAGCAAAATTGTGGGTTGCTCTGGACACAAGGGCCTTGCCTTCATCTAACGTTAATGAGAGAAATGCCCAGTCTGCTAATGATTGCTGGCCTAGTTTAGACAGTAATCTGGCTGCCAAGTCAAAAATGAACTGGGGAAAAGCAGGTGTGAAATGATCTGTATGGAGGTGCAGGGTCAGTCAGAACCCATCTCCCGCCCCTCTGCTCAGCCTTTCACTTGGCTTGGACTGTGACTTCCACTGGGGTCATTATGACAGGTTGTCCAGTTACCCAGCAAATGTTCCTCCCCTTTCTCCGATTGCTTGTGCTGTGGTGTCTTCGGGCCTTTAAAAAAGAGCTGATTCAGATACAACAAAAGTGGATTCTCTACTGGATAGTCTGGGAGAAAAATGAAAAAGAAACAGCAGGCAAGCAGGAGAGATGAAGAATGAAAAGTTAAAAGAGGGGTAGAGCAATGCTGCCGTGAAGAAAGATGAGAGGAATGTGAGGATGGAATCCAAGGCAGGTGCAGATAACTGCTGAGGAAGGGGACCTGCCCGATGATGATGATAAAGACGATCAGGAAGCTGAACAGCTGAAGTCGATTAAGGGTGATGAGAAAGAGACCAGAGGAGAGGATGGCTCTTAAGCATGTAGTAGGGTTTAGAGGCCTTGTTTCTTCACCGAAGTGCTTATTGGAGATCAAAATTACACCAGATCCTCTCTGCTGGCATCTTCAGCACATTCTCACTGTTCTGTATGAATCCTTCCCGTGTTCATTAATTCATAAGTGCCCTGTGCTGACTTCCATTTTCTCTTCGTTTCATGATGCTTAGTTTCGTTAAGTCTTACCCTGTAATTTTGGCTTTTAATTTTGATATCTCTTTATGAATTAACAATAAAAGGATGTATGGTTTTGAAAAACAAAATAGCAGTAATACTGCTAAATATATCTTCAAATAGACAAAGAAAAAATGTTAGATATAAAACAAAAACAACTATAATAATACTAAACACCCTGATGTCAGTCCTGATAATTCAAGAAAGCAAAACATGATCTTTAGTTCAATTTAATAGACACTTGTAAGTTTTTTGGTGTGTATGTTTGTGTGCACATGTGCGTGTGTTTGTGTGTAGGTCAGAGGTCAGCAAGAGGTTTTTTCATTGCTCTCCACCTTTTTAAAATTTTTTTAAAAAATTTAATTATATTGTATACATATGTGTGTATTACCTGCATGTAGATAAGTGCACCTGTGTTGTGCAATGCCCTCGGATGTCAGAAGAGGCTGTTGGACCCCCTGGGACTGGAGTTACGGACAGTTGTTAGCTGCCATGTGGGTGCTGGGATTTGAACCTGGGTCTTCTGCAAGAACAACCACTGTTCTTAACCACTAAGCCATCTCTCCAGCCCCTTTTTTTGGTCTTTTTGAGGCAAGGTCTTCCTATAGCCCCAGCTAGCCAGGCACTCACTGTATAGACTATGCTGGACTCAATCTCACAAAGATTGTCTGCCTCTGCCTCCCAAGTACTGACATTAAAGGTGTGCGCCACCACGCCTGGCTTCTCTGCTTTATTTTTTGAGGCAACCTGGTGTTCTCTGACTCAGCTAGATTGGCTGACCCACAAGCTTCAGGGATCCTCCTGTCTCTCCCTCCCCAGTGCTGTGGTTACAGGATTGTGCCACCACACCTGGCTTCTACATGGTACTGGCTATCAAATGCCTACATTTAGTCCTATTACTAGTATGATTAATCATGAAAATAATTTCAAAATACATTTTCTTCATATTTTTCTGTGTGCTTGAATGTTTCATACTAATAAAACTAAGAAGAGGGCCAGTGAGATGGGTCAGTAGGTAAAGGCACTTGCTGCCAAGCCTGATGACCTGAGTTCAGTCCCCAGATTCCACATGATGGAAGGAGGGAGTCAGCTGCTGCAAGTTTTCCTCTGACCTCCACACATGGTGCACATGCACTTAGCCCCCCCCACATCAAAACAAATGTAAAAAATAAAAACTAAGAAAAGTAAGCTTTTACTAGAAATGACAAGTTAAAAAGTAAAAAAATTAAAATCATTAAATATAAAACCAAAATAAAATAATTATAGAAAATCATGAGAAATATCCAAAAGGGGATATAGATAAAACTTTATGCAGAGGGAGATGTGTATTATTATATGTGATCTCTTCTTTTAAAGGCAAAATGAACTAAAAATTCAAACTGAGAGATTGGAAAATAAAGAGAAGGATAACTCTAAGAAAAATTGGGTAGAAAAATGTCCAAGTGCCATTAATAAATATAAGTCCAACCTGAAAGTAAATCCTGAATCCATCACTCTAGAGTCCAGCCTTGGAAGACAAAAGAAAAATGAGGAAGAACCCAATAGAGGGACACTTTTGGAAGACCTTGTCAAGAAATGCCTATGGACTCTCATATGCACATTTGAAAATTGCCCTGTTCTGTTTTTCTAGTTCCCTGTCTAGAACTTGTAATGCTAATTACTCTTGCCTTTACTTCTTCACACACAAAAAAAGGGTTATGCAATTTGTTCAGCATGGAAGAAGCCAGATACCCTATCCGCAAATTGGGTGACCTCTTTAGATGATGGTGTGATAAAAATAGGAGGTAGGAATTGGCTAGGCAGTTAGGGTAAAAAGACCCCAAAGAAAAGTAGCCAGTTTCTTGGCTAAAACTCACAATGTCCTTGGGACTCCTTAGCAGCATACTCTGTTCCAAAGGCCAAAAATGTCTAAAGTATTTGGGAGCTTTAATCTAATCCTTAAAAGATTGTAGGGTAACCTCTTCAGAGGGGGTAGTAGCAAAAAGCCCCATAAAAAAAGAAAAGAAGAAGAAAGAATATATGCAGTTATCAGAAAAAAGTGATAGGGAGATGTGGGAGGAGTTGGAGGGGAGGGAGTGGGCATGGATTTGATCAAAACCTTATACACATGCATGAAATCCTCAATAAATTATTAAAAAATATATAAATCAAGCAATAGGACTAGAGGGTGGAAGAGAGGGAAGAAGATCAACAGCATGCATCTGGTTTTGTTTTGTGCAATCAAAACAAGGCATGGAGATAAAAAAGCCACCATACACAATTTTATTTTAATACACTTAAAATTTTAAGTGATACAGATAAATTCCTTGAAATAAGCAAGGATCATAAGGAAAAGTCAATCCCACAAATATGCCAAGAACTTTGGGGAAAGTTGGAAATTAATGCTGGTAGCTATTAAACAGTACCTGTGTGTACTGTACTAGAACTTTAAATGAATTATTCTTATATACTTATCATATTGACTCTGTGAGGTAAGTATAGTATCACTGGGACTTACAGATGGGAGGCTGAAGTTTAGTAAAAGTTAAATGAACTTCTGAAAGGCATTGTAAATGGTAGAGTTGGAATGCAAACCCACACAGTCTCCTTTAGCTTGTGCTACACAAACCCCCTTTATTATTAAAGAATGTTCTTGGGCTGGAGAGATGGCTCAGCAGTTACGAGCACTGGCTGCTCTTGCAGAGGACCCAACTTTGGCTCCCAGAACCCACATGTCAGCTAACAACCATCCATAACTCTAGTTCCAGGGGATCCCATGTCCTCTTCTGACATCCGTAGGCATTGCATGACACAGGTGCACTTACATACATGCAGGCAATACACTCATGCACATAAAAATAAAATAAAAATAATAAAGAATGTTCTTTCAAAGGGATTCTAACACTTTGTACATAGTTCCTCCAACTTTCAGGGCAAAGCTAATACCTCAGGTGGGTCCTAATTCCAAAACACAGAAAAGACAGAAAGTGACACACTTTATTTTACGATGTTAATATGATTGGAAGAAAAATCTGACAATATAGGCTAAAAATCAACTCTATAAACAGAGGTTAAAACATTCTCAAAGTAGCTGGACGTGGTGGTGCATGCATTTAATCCCAGCACTCAGGAGGCAGAGGCAGAGGTAGAGGCCAGTCTGGTCCACATAGCAAGTTCCAGACCATTTGTGGCTACAGGGA